AGGCAGGTCTCCAACTCCTGAGCTCAAGAGAGCCTCCCACCTCAGCCTCCCAAAGTGCTGGGATTATAGGCGTAAGCCACCATGCCTGGCCTGTGTAATTGCTATTTCCAGCTGAGTCAGTGTAATATGTGACTGCATTTCTTGTTCAATCTTTGTTTCTCTTGAAGTTAATAATTATCTCTCTTGTTCGTTTTCTATGTACTTATCACTAATCAACCCCCAGTTCTATGCCAGTTCTTTAAGTCTTATTTTGATACATTTAGATAGGTTAGACTTACATTTATTTACCTTCCTGAAGAAGTTGCCGCAGAACTTTCTGCCCCATTCCATTCTGGCCTGGCCACCTTCCAATCCTGGGATCTCCCTTTACCTTTACCATTATCCTGGGGATTCACTTCACCTCAACCCAGGTTGCACAAGAATTACAAGAACCTTCAGTTTCCTGAAGGAATATGGTTTCCAACCTAGACAAGGAGTCAGTCCTGTGAGGGTATGGTAGATATTTTCAGACAGGCGAGTTCTCAACAACAACCAACTCCCCTTACATGCTGCTTTTCCTCGGGAAGTTGCTAGAGGTGTTGCTTCCCTAAAATAAGACAGTAAGCCCAGAAAGAGGAGGTGTCCTGGGAAACCTCACATGAAATGACTCCTGTGCTGCAGGTCCATTCTTAATCTAGAAGTTCGGTCGGTCTTCGGTGCTGGGGAATTTTCTTGAAAAAAAATTTCAATTCGTTTTTCCTGCCATGATTCTTAGTTATTTTTTGGCAGTGAAGAATAAGGGAGTTAAAAACTGAATGAAACTCTAGGTAGGGACAGGATCCCTCAGTCACTGTGTGGTGACTTCGCCAGACTGTCTATTTGGGGAAGGATGCTGCACATATCATTGTCTCTTAGGTCTTTCTCTTGGCTGCTCACGTCCCCCTGCTTGGTGGATAAAGACCTGGCTACCAGCATTCTTAGAACTGACCACTGTAGGTCACAAGAGGTTGGAGGTGTCCAGGGGCACCTCAGCCCCTTGTGCCAGCCTTGCCCTCTCCTCCTTGTGGCCAGCACACTTCTCTTGCTCTTGCAGTGCCAGCCCTAGCCGGGCACCTCCTCAGTGGGAAAGGGCCGGGCCCAGGCTTTCCAGAGCTGGGATGTGATTTTAAATAGGCCTCCTTTCTGGCTCCCAAATTTTTATCACCCCTTTTTCCTTTCCTTCTCTTCCTTAAGGGTTTATGTCCTTTTTAAAAAGCTCCTTTTCTATTGTTCTAGTGAGGTTTTAGAAGAAATTAGAAGCCACCGTCTTTACTTAGAAGTCTGTACCAATCTAACTTCATGGGTACCATAGCATTGAAAGAACTAATTTGATTGGCCAGGCGTGGTGGCTCACACCTGTAATCCCAGCACTTTGGAAAGCCGAGATGGGTGGATCGTGAGGTCAGGAGTTCGAGACCAGCCCGACCAACATGGTGAAACCCTATCTCTACTAAAAATACAAAAATTAGCCAGGCGTAGTGGTGTGTGCCTGTAATCCCAGCTACTCAGGAGACTGAAGCAGGAGAATCACTTGAACTGGGGAGGCAGAGATTGCAGTGAGCCGATATTGTTCCACTGCACTCCAGCCCTGGGAGACAGAGACTCTGTCTCAAAAAAAAAAAAAGAACTAAGTTGTTTCAAATGGCAATCATTCTTCATGAATGTTACTATGTTGGAACAAAATAATAATAGGCATCCTACTCAGACAGATATCATTCTTTCAGGTAGGACTGTGGTATGAACAGTGCTTTAATGTTCTCTGTATTTTAATGGTAAAGTTGAGCATGTGTAGACAGGTGTTTATAGGATGGATCACTAGTCAGACACTTGTAAGCTCCTATAGAACATTACTAACTATACCTTATCCTACTTTTTTTTCCTTAAGACAGCTGTGAAAACAGACAGACTAGGAGGGAAATATTTTTACAGCTGGCTCAGAAGAGGTTTTATTTTATAGTTGTTCATGCAAAGCATACTTGTCTTCAGGCGATGCAATTGATTTAAATTAAGAAAAAAATCTTAATACCAGCCATGTAGTCTTTGTAACATTTTGTCTATTAAATATGATTATTACTTTAATAAATATAGTAAGATGAAAAGAAAATATTTGCCCTTGGGGTTTTTTTGACCTGAAAATGTGTAATAGGCACATAGATATTCATTTGAAAATATCTGGATCTTAGGCAATATCACCTATCCCATATTTACAGATAGCTCCAAAATTTACATCATAGCCCCCTCCTTTCTCCTGAGACATGGCGTGTTGTTCCCAGACACCTAGTGATGTCCATCCGAATCCTTGTGCTCTTCTCCCGGGGCCGCAGGCAGACACAGCCTTAAATGGAGCGTGATTTCTTCCCCTTTACTCCACCCATGGGCTGTTTCCTAATGCTCGCCAGTGATGGAGCCCAACTCAGTGTCGCCAGCTTTCTAGTTGCTTAAGCTAGATGTTTGAGAGAAGTTTCTAACCCTGTTTTTAATTCTTAACCTTCCCATCTCCATAGCTGGATCTGTTGATTCTAATTTAGAAATGTATCTCACAAGTTCTAGCTGCCCTAATTCAGGCCCTGTCTCTTTTGCCAGTTTCTTAAAATGGCTTCTTAGTCTACTCATGACACTCACTTCTTACTCAGCAGTCCGTCAGACATCGTGCTGCTGCATACTCTTGAAGCACAGTTTTGGGTTTTTTGTTAGTTTGGTTTTGGGTTTTTTTGAGGCAGGGTTTCTCGGTCACCGAGGCTGGAGTGTATGGCGTGATGTCGGCTCACCACAGCCTTGACTTCCCAGTCTCAAGCAACCCTCCCCCTTTAAACCTTCCAGGTAGCTGGGACTACAGGCATGCACTACCACACTTGACTCATATTTTGTATTTTGTATAGACAGGGTCTCACCATGTTGCCCACCTGGTCTTGAACTCCTGGCCTCAAGTAGTCCTCCCACCTCGGCTTCCCAAAGTGCTGAGATTGCAGGCGTGAGCCACCGCACCTGCTCAGAAGCACAGTTCTGCCACCTGAGAGTCTTGAAGCATACTTCTGTTTATCATCCATCTTCTCCCTCCTCCCTCCTTTCCTCTCTCCCTCCTTCTCCTTTGTTTCTCTTCCTTTTCCTCTTCCTCTTCCTCCCCTGCTTTGCTAGTGGTTTACCCTTATATCATCAAAATAACAGTCATGGGATTTAACATCTTTTTACAGTATGGGCTGATCAAAAAATCGTTTTTCAAATTACATCATTCTTTTGTCAGACTCTTCACCCCTCCCCTGTCAGCTGGAAATGCTGTTTCTTCAGATTTCTACCTGTTGAAACCTACTCATCTTTCAAGCCTCCTCCTCCCGGGTGCCACACCCCAGGGCCCTTCCTGGGGTGTCATTTTGTTGGGATTCCTTTGTCTGTCCAGTGGTGTGGCATTTTCAGCATTACCGAGCAGCCTCCAGAAGGGGCCTAGTAGCAAATGTGTTTGTAATGTTTTTTCTTCCTTACTAGATTAGGATCAGGAACCAAATCTTAGCTTTCTTTTTCCCTTCCTCGTCTTTCTTGGAAACGATGTTTAATCAGGGAAGACTTGTTACACTTAATATCTCAGAATTTTAGGTAAGGATTTATCTGTGTTTAGGTACATACAAATATTAAACAGGCCAATATCCTTAATGTCTTATGATTTACTAAACTTTTGTATAGGTCTGTCACACAAGTCATATTCAGAACATAACTGCCTGCAACCTTGTTTACTGTCAACAGCGGAGAAATAGTAAAGTAGCCTGCTCAGCAGTCAGTCCATCACAAACAGGGCAGCTTTTTCCAGCGATGTTCAGGGCTTTTTACTGTGATCGACAAACAATTCTAAGTAAGCCGTTTCATCTGGTTTCCAAGCCTATAGCAGAGAAGGATTTAGAAATGTGTAAGAGAGTCCTAAATGGGTAAGATTATCTGTCATCTACTTAAGTGACCAGGAAAGTTTATAGTACAGTTTAGAAAACCTTCCATTGAAAATGGTACCAAAAAAAGGAATTTCGTGTCAATCCTGAGCTATCTAAATGGGTCTCAGTAGCCAGAGTTTTCATATCTGAGGGATACACGATATTATTTGACAACAATAGATGACCTGAGGGAGAATATTGATAAATCCACTCTGTACGGGATGGAAATGTCCCTTCTGTTTCCCAGTAACTCAGCTGGAATCGGTAAACTGACACTCCTAGCTTCCCCCATCCCGCTTTGTGAGTTACTGACTTTGTATACTTCCTCCCAGTTTTGGAATCTGAAGTTGCAAGAATGGCTTATTTTAAGTCATTATAGTAGCTAAACTATAAAAGCCCCGTTTTCAGGTACAGTCGCTCATGCCTGTAATCCCAGTATTTTGGGAGGCTGAAGCATGAGAAATTGCTTGAGCCCAGGAATCCAAGACCGGCCTGGGCAACATAGAGAGACTCGTCTCTACAAAAAATTAAAAATTATCCTGGTGTGGTGGTGCTCCTGTGGTCCCAGCTAGTTGGGAGGCTGACTGAGGCAGGAGGATCGCTTGAGCCCAGGAGGTTGGGGCTACAGTGAGCTGTGATTGTGCCACTGCATTCCAGCCCGGGTGACAGAGGGAGACCCTGTCTCTAAAAAATAATAAAAGCCATGTTTCAAAAACTTATGTATTTTCTTGAAAGGTATTTTTTGCATTAAAATGTTAATTGAAGAAATTCTTTGTAATGTTTAGGCATGAAGTTAGCTGAAAGGCTCATTCTTAGCTCATTGTGTGTAATGGCCAAGTGGTGTAAATCATCTGCTAAGTAGATTCATAGAGGTTGTTTTGGTGGTGGAGCTAAAACCTAGGGGCAAGTAGAAAGTTCTGGAAGAAATTTCATAATGAGTTAATAATGTATGCCTCATGCAGCTTATTAATTTATAATAGGTTCAGTGTTTTAAAACCATGTTTCTGGTCAAATCAAAAATTTAATCAGATTACCTTCAATTTTTACATACTTTTTTCCTCCTTATAGAGTCTTCCTAATATTCTCACTGATGATCGATTTAAAGTTATGTTTGAGAACCCTGACTTCCAAGTAGATGAAGAGAGTGAAGAATTCAGGCTTCTGAATCCACTTGTTTCAAAAATTAGTGAAAAAAGGAAGAAGAAACTAAGACTTTTAGAGCAACAAGAACATCGTGAAAAAGTAATGTACTCCTTATCATTTAGAACTTGCTACTGTGTCTTTAACATAATGTTTTCTTTGTAAGCTAGAAGAGTCTTTGATTATACTTGAGATGTAATTACATATTAAGTGGTTGACATTGGGCTTAGGAGTATTATCTTATTTAATTAAAGGTATTTCTTCTGATACATGCCATGGAGCAGCTGTCATGCACTCATTAATGGGCCAGTGCTGCTTAAAAGAAACCAAGGGGTCTGTGCTTGGGGAGAGGAGCTGCTACTCACTATTTTTATTCTCAGGAAGAGGAGGAAGAGCCGGAAGGAAGACCGAGTGATGCAGAAAGTTCAGAGAGTTCAGATGATGAAAAAGCCTGGGTCGAAGAGGTCAGGAAGCAGCGCAGACTCCTCCAGCAGGAGGAAAAAGTGAAGCGGCAGGAGCGACTCAAGGAGGACCAGCAGACAGTCCTAAAGCCCCAATTTTATGAGATCAAAGCAGGAGAAGAATTTAGAAGCTTCAAAGATTCTGCCACAAAGCAGAAACTGATGAAGTGAGTAGCACTGCCTGAGCGTCCAGTTGACATGTGGCCAAGCCCTTGGGTTTCCTCTCTGGCACATTGCCCTAAGGATGACACTTCTGTCTTTGGATGATGGAAGTGCAGGGGATGGACAGGACGAGGAAAGGAGGAGGTAAGGCCATGCGGGAGGTGATGTGAAGGAAGCACCCAGCTGGCCTGAGAAGAGTGTTGCTAGTGAAGTACGTTGGTCTCCAAGGAATTTACTTACTTGTAATAGCAACTTTTGAGGTGTAGTTTACATGCTGTAAAATCTAGGGTATAGATAGCCTTATGAGAATCAGGAGAACACTTTTAAGCTGCAGAAGCCACAAACTTTCATCCTTGTTTTTTCCCTGTGGGGCTCCTTCACCTACAAATACTTATGCTGTGCCCTACAGATCAGTGGTTTGAAACCTTTTGGACAGTGGCAGTTAGGAGATGATTAATTTTCTTTTTTTTTTTTTTTAAAGACGAGGTTTCACCATGTTGGTCAGGCTGGTCTTGAACTCCCAACCTCAGGTGATCCGCCCGCCTTGGCCTCCAAAGTGCTTGGATTACAGGCATGAGCCACTACACCCGGCTAAGATGACTAATTTTCTGCTTCTTCACAAAGTTATTTTAAGAAGTGAAAAGCGGCCGGGCATGGTGGCTCACTCCTGTAATCCAAGCACTTTGGAGGCCAAGGCGGGCAGATCACCTGAGGTCAGGAGTTCAAGACCAGCCTGACCAACATGATGAAACCCTGTAAAAAAAAAAAAAAAAAGTGAGAAGCTCAGTTCTGTTTACCCCATCTCAGTTTACCTGGTTATTGAAAAAGTTGCTTGGAAAATTTGCCAGAAATTTTAAGTCTTTTTCAGGAAAATTGAGAGATCAAAAAGAGTGGTATTCTGAAATAGTCAAATACATAGAGAGAGACGGAGAGTAGACTGGTGGCTGTCAAGTGTTTCATGGGTGCAGAGCTTCGGGTTGGATTATGAAAATGTGCTGGAAATAGTTGGTAGTGATGGTTGTACAACAGTGTGAATGTACTTTAATGCTGCGGAACTGTCCACTTACTAATGGTTAAAATGGTAAGTTTTATGTTACAAATATTTACCACACCTCCAAAAAAATTAACCTTCCCCGAAAAAGGTAGTTTTATTGGAATAATTTTCAGTTGTCAGGAGTCTGAGTCAGGAACAAGCGAGGTGTCAAGACCGAATTGTATATAAACTCTACATTATGCAAGTCTCTGAGAATTTCTAGGCAAAGTATTAATGCACAAGATTGGAATGTGCTGGACAGTCATAGGAGATGTCTTAAAAAAAAAAATAGCTTGAATGCCTGGGGAGCCAAGGGAGCAGTCTGCAGGGGGAGTAGGAGGAGTGGACAGGATAGACCAGGTGTTAGGTTGGGCTCCGTACTTTTCTTCACCTGGTACTTCTCCAGCTCCCAGCTCTCCATGCAGGAGAAGGTGTTTTTTTCCAAAGTGGGAGGAGGAAAAGCGTGGGGAGGGCATCAGTGAGCAGGTGGAATTGTTTCTGGGGTTGAGGTATGTCTTATTCATCTTTATTTCACCAGCTTCTAGCAAATAACTGCCACACTACATGTATTGAATCCTTCAATTTAGAATTCAGAAGCATCTCAAAATTCTGGTTCTGGTGAACTAACAAAAGATATGTCCACAAGTAAAGAAGCTAGTAGACCTGACCCCTGAACAACTTGAGGACTAGCTAGGAGCACCAGCCCCCTGCAAAGTCAAAAATGTGCATTTAACTTTCTGTTTATTTGTTTGTTTGTTTGTTTTTCACCAGAAAGCCTAGAACCTGACGCATACAACTTTTGATTTCCCAAAAACTTTACTTTTTTTTTTTTTTATTTTTTTTTTAACCTTTCTGGTGACTTAGAACCTAGAACATCCCCCAAAAAATTACTAATAGCCTATTGGTGACTGGAATTTTTAACAATCAAGGGTCAGTTATCACATATTTTATATGTTCGATGTTTGCATACTGTACTCATACAAAAAGATAAGCTGGAGGGAAAAATGTCATTAAGAAAATCATAACGAAAGGAAAATATATTTACTATTCATTAGATGGGAGTGGATTATTATGAAGTATTCATCCTTGTCTTCACGTTGAGTGGCCTTAGGAGGAGGAAGAGAAGGGATTAGTCTTCCTGTCTCGGGTGGCAGAGGTGGAAGAGGAGGAGGTGGAAGGGAGGCGGAAGACGCAAGTGAATGATGTTAACTTTTATTGAAAGAACTCTGCCTGTAAGTGGAGCAGTGAGTTCAAACCCATGTTGCTCGAGGGTCAGCTGTAATGTTCTTGATATCTTCTGAAGATGTTTTCTTTACTGGCCAACCTCACATTTTAAAATAACAACTTTCCTGAGATATAATTTATGTAACATACAATTCATCTACTTAAAGCGTGCAGTTCACTGGTTTTTAGTATATTCAGAGTTGTGTAACCATCACCGTAATTTTAGAACATTGTCATCACCCCAGAAAGAAACTCTACGCCTCAGGGGCAGTCACCACACATTTATTTAGTCTACCCCATCTCCCATTCCAAGCCAGTCACTGGTTTGCTTCTCTGTCTCTATAGATTTGCCAATTCTGATATCTCATGTAAAAGGAACTGTACAATGTGTGGCCTTTTGTGGTGGCTTCTTTCTCTTAGCACAGTGTCTTTAATGTTCATCATCTGTGTTGTAGCATCTATCAGTATAGTCAGCCCTCTGCATCCGTGGGTTCCTCATCCATAGATTGAACCAATATGAGTTGAAAATATTCAGAAAAATTTATAGCTGTACTGAACATGTACAGACTTTTTTCTTGACATTATTCCCTAAGCAATACAGTATAACAACTATGCATGTAGCATTTACATTGTATTAGGTATTATAAGTGATCTAGAGATAATTTAACACAGGGGAGGGTATGCACAGGTTGTATGGAAATACACCATTTTATATAACTTGAACCTCCATAGATTTTTGTATCAAAGGGAAGTCCTGGAACCAATTCCCCAGCAGATCCCAAGGGACAACTCTACTCCATTTGTTTTTATTACCAAGTAATATTCCAGCGTATGTGTGTGTAGACCAGTTTATGTATCTCTTCGTAAGTTGATGGATATCTGGGTAGTTTCCACTTTTTGGTTATTACGAATAATGCTGCTGTGAACTTTGGTTTATACAGTTTTGCATATTTTCATTTATGTGCAAGAATTGGAAGAAATTGCTGGTCATATAGCAACTCTGTTTAGCCTTTTCAGAAACCGGCAGACTTGGCCAAAGGCTGCTCCATTTTACACTCCCCAGCAGTGTATGCAGCCGCACTTTTTATACAGCTGGTATTCGTAGGTGTTTTATTTGGAGTCCCGCTCAGCAGCAGAGGGAACCCTGCTTGTTTGTACTGTTCTGGTTCTGTGGAGTGAATTTATTTGTTGAGGATATGCTGTTCTTGTCTTGCCCTATTTACTGCTTTATCTCTGGCTCTTGAATAAGTACTAGAATAAAGTGGGCACTTGAGAAATACTTGCTGGAAGTGTGAATCTTCTTTGCCTTGACAACCCGTCAGGCAACTCAGAAGTTACTCCTTCAAGATCTGCTGAGAAAGGACTCACTTTCCCCATAACCATTCACCAGGAAAACTTGGGAGCCGTTGTTTTGAGTGTAACCACGGCAACAGGAGGCTGTGATTTGCGGGTAGGTGGTCTGACTAATCTCTAACATTCTTCCTTCTGCCTGGAGGCGGCAGTAGGATATGGAAGTATAAACAAAGGGGATAAAAATTTATATCTAAGAATAAACAATAGCGAGGTGAATACACTGCATTCTTACTAAGTTAAATATCACTAAGTTAAACATTCTTTTTGAGAACTATGTAAGTGATAATACTTACATGAGTATTTAGTGAAACATGATCCTTCAGAGAACTAAAGTGACTCTGTGTTTATTCTGCAAGTTACCGCAAGCCAGTCAACAACAGATAATGTCAGATTGAGTATGTTATATTTAAATGTTCCCTTGGACTTGCCCAGCTTTAAAACTGTTTCTATAAAGGGAAAGGTGTATTGTGATTGGTAGCTGGAGACTTGAGTGAGCTGTCTGTGTTGCTTGATGTAGTCATGTGGCTTTCGGTAAACACATATGTCTGTTGACACGTATTTCAGTGTGCTAGCTTTGTGAGTCTGTTCATCCACTTATCAGCCTTTCCACCACCCATTCATTCATCAAGTATTTCTCAACTGCCCAGTGCGAGCAGACCTAGACCCAGGGGATGGAAGAAAGACACGGCCTGCGTGCCTGAAGTGCTCATGGGAAAGGAGCAGAAGAAGGAAGGGCTGAATTTGAGGGGACTTGAAGTCATAATGGAAACTGGTCTTGGAAAAATGCAGAGCGGAGCACTCAGGGCTAGTGGGAAAGAATGCATTTTTGGCAGAGGCAAGCACGGCCACAGGCAGGTTATGTGAAGGGTGGGGGGTGCCCTCCTATAGCCAGAGCACTGGGTGCATGGAGGGGTGGCTGACCAAGCACTGGAAAGCCACCATATTACAGCTTAGATGAATGGTATCAAATGTATCTCAATATATATATTTATATTTGTATATAAATATAAATGTATATTATAAATAAATTATATTTATATTATATTGTGTTTATATAAATATATATATATATTTATATGTTATAAATATATATATATTTATTTATAAATATAAAAGTACCACGTGATTGTTGTAGCACCTAAAAACATAGCCATGAAAATTCCTATTCCTGGAAACCTGTTAGGAAAATATCTTCATTTTAGAAAGACAATGTGGGGAGAAACTGATCACCCAGAGACCAGCTCTCAAACTGTTAGAATCATCCCAGTTAGAAGGGCCATAGGCCTGAATGATGGAGCAGAGAGGAGCAGGCAGACCGGAAGACTCAGAGTGAGAAAGAAAAATGGGCACAAACTCCAACATAGGTTCCTAATATCCAAGGAGAAGGGAACAGGG